CAACTTTGGTTCCAAAGATTGTACGGATACTTCCCTATCTCACCCAGGTGTTTGAAGTTTAATTAATTAATGTTTGTAAAGAGCGTTACAATTTCCAGATGAAAGGTCCTATGCAAGTGCAATGAAGTATTACTCATTGAGGTGATTGGGTTAGAGAGTATCACATTACACAATACAGCTCTTCCCTCAATGATTTTAAGTGTTTGAAGTTCTGATAAAATGTATTTATCACTAAGATAGATATAATGGAAATAATCCTAAGGCGTGACCTGGATTATGAAACCAGAGGTATGGTTTTGGGAATGGAACAAACGAGAATTAAAACAACTCCTGAGGCCAGATTTGTCTACAGTTGTATAAAATGTATTCTGTTCTTTTTCTCCTCTTCCAGTAGGCTTTTCTTCTCTTCTAAAATAGAACCGGTTATTACGATGGGTGTGAGCAGACATGCAACAGTTCACGTTCAGTTCCTATTTCCATACTCATCCAACTTGACATTTTCTCATGACTTTCTCAAAAATATTTTCTATTCTAATTTTTTTTTTTTTCAATGTTTGGATTAACCCTAAAGGTGAACATTTTCTTTCTGGAAAGTTCTGCTTTAATCAGCAGTTAAATTGAATTAAATCAAAAGCTTGTGGACAAGGTCAAACTGGAGATTGCAGTCAATACGCTTAAGACAGGGTTAACATTAAAGCTATTTAGATCTAGACAGGCTAAAGGAATAGGTCAGCATGAACTTCATGACACTCAACAGTGACAGATGCAAAGTTCTGAATCTGGAATGGATTGACCCCCTGCACCAGTACCAGCTGGGGAGTAACTGCCTGGGCATCAGCTGTATTGAAAAGGAGGTGGGTTCCTGGTGTTCAGTGAGCTGAAGAGGAGTCAAGCAGTGTGCCGTGGGAGTGTCACAGGAGAGCAGGTCAAGGGAATCGCTTTATTCAGTGCTCATCAGATCAGATCTGGAATACGGTGACCAGCTGTGACCTCTCAGTACAAGAAAGATGAAGGTAAATTGGAGCAAGTTTGAAACAGGGTTACCAGGGCGGACAGTGGACTGGAGCACTTGACCTATGAGGAGAAGGTGACAGAACAGGGCTTGGTTCACCCTGGAGAACAGATGGCTTCATGGGACTCAACGGCAATCTTCCCATACCTACAAGGAAGTTACTGAGAAAACTGAAGCAGGCTCTTTAGTGAAATACACAGTGGGAAAACAAGAACTGATTGCCATAAACCGAAGGCAGGCTTCATCTGGATATAAGGGAAAAGAGATTTCATGGCAGATAATTCAGCACTGGGTCAGGTTGCCCACAGACTGTGGAATCGCCACCTTTCCAGGTTTCCAAGACCTGACTGGAAGCTGATCTGAAATTAGTGCTGACCCTGCTTTAAGTGGGATATTAGACTAGAGACCTCCTGAGGTTCCTTTCAACCTGATTCAATGGGAAGGGAGACAAAACCTAGCTTACGTTCAGGTTATGCATACTTGTTCAGGAATGGGCTTGGACTTTTGTGCTTAAGTTACGAGAGTTGAACAAGTTTGCTCAATTTTTGTTTGAAAAAATAACATTACTCATTATTTGTCAAAAGACAACTGTTAATGTTCCAACTGCCATATTCCATCTTTGCTCTTTTTCCCACATTTTCTAACAAACTTACCATGATAGCAAATGAAGGCATTATTGCACCTAGAAGTCTCAGTTAAAGAAGAAACAAAACCAGGGTTTTTAATACCACCAGGTAATGGAAGAACAATGCACTTCAGTTTGTGCATTTTTACTCTTAAAAAAGAATCTGCATGAAGTTATATTTGTGAATTACTAAAACACATTATTGACTGACCAAATTTTAAAATACACTGAAAACTTTCTTTTGCTGAGTTTTCTCAATTTTTGTGATATTTAAGTAAAAAACTAATTTTCCATGAATGTTGTGTTTATTATTAATGGCGCTCATTAATAGTTAGTCTTCCAGAGGGATATTCTTTTTCCTTGCATTTCTAGCACACATTTTTCACAGAATCACAGAATGGTAGGGGTTGGAAGGGACCTCTGTGGGTCATCTAGTCTAAGCCCCCTGCTGAAGCAGGGTCACCTACAGCAAGTTGCTCAGGACCTTATCCAGGTGGGTTTTGAATATCTCCAGAGAAGGAGAATCCACAAATCCTCTGGGCAACCTGTTCCAGTGCTCCATCACCCTCAGAGGGAAGAAGTTCTTCCTCATGTTCAGGTGGAATTTCCTACGCTTCAGTTTGTGCCCGTTGCCCCTTGTCCTGTCGCTGGGCACCACGGAAAAGAGCCTGGCCCCATCCTCTTGACACTCACCCTTAGGATAGTTGTAAGCATTTATAAGGTCCCCTCTCAGCCTTCTCTTCTTCAGGCTGAACAAGCCCAGCTCCCTCAGCCTCTCCTCGTAGGAGAGATGCTCCAGTCCCCTCATCATCCTCGTAGCCTTCTGCTGGACTCCCTCCAGTAGCTCCTCATATTTCTTGAACTGGGGAGCCCAGAACCGGATGCAGTACTCCAGATGGGGCCTCACTAGGGCAGAGTAGAGGGGAAGGAGAACCTCCCTCGACCTGCTGGCCACACTCCTCTTAATGCACCCCAGGATCCCATTGGCCTTCTTGCCAACCAGGGCACACTGCTGGCTCATGGTCAACCTGTCGTCCACCAGCACTCCCAGGTCCCTCTCCACAGAGCTGCTCTCCAGCAGGTCCGCCCCAAGCCTGTACTGGTGCATGGGGTTGTTCGTCCCCAGGTGCAGGACCCTGCACTTGCCCTTGTTGAACTTCACCAGATTCCTCTGCGCCCAGCTCTCCAGCCTGTTATTATTGTTCCAAAATTCTGCTATATTCCCACTAGGAGTTACATGCCTGAATAAACCAAACAATTAGAATTGTAACAAAAGCACACCAGCCATAACTCTGATTATTCTAAATAGGCGATCATACTTCTGACTTGTCCAGAAAGAGAATCAGTAACTGAATACGGATGTTAAGAAAACAGGTTTGTTAAGGGGTCACGTGTCATTTTCCTCCTTTTTTCTGTCCTATGCTTGTCACTCTCCTCTCTCCCCCCAACATTACAGGAATCTGTAAGAAGATCAAAATGGAGCAATGTAAAAAGATAAAAAAAAAAAAAAATTTAAGAGTTACTAATGACTGTGGACTCAAAGGTACGTCTTCTTGCAGATCTGTTCCTTAATACTCTGAAGCGGTCAAAGGCATTTGAAAAAGACTGTATTAGACAATGTATGAACATAAATGGACTTTTAGGAAACTAGAAATCTTAATAGTGGCTGAACTGAAACAACATAGTGTTAAGAATTATGTACAGACTCTAAAAATGCAACAGAGTAGCTATACAGTTGGTAATAATACTGAGCAGTTTAGGGTGAAAGGCAATGTCCATGCTTTGTTCCAATGATTTTTGGCAAAAAACCTGCATAAAACATCTAGCTTTTCATTATGACTGCATGATATTAAAGGTAAAACTAAGAAAATATCTTCATGGAAAGAGCATTCTGTGCATAACATGTTAATGGTAGCTAATGAACCAAAACCCACAGAAAACCCTTTGGACAGCTAACAAACACACACAGCTATTAATTAGGTCACAGCTGTTTCCTCACAAGTCTTTTGTTCACTTTAGTTGTAGAAAACACCAACATATCTATTAGACCTGTAGGGAGGTATTCACCAGTGAAGAAAATATTTATTTATTATACGTTAAATGCTTGCAATTATATGACTACTTACGGCACTTCTGCTGGTTTCTCTCTTTGTAAGTAAACTATAATCATTCAGTTCACAATCTATCCTACTCCTCAGAACACCACTCACCTCAGTAGATCCAATTGTTTCATTTTGTGTACTTCAGGCAACCATTGTAACTCAATCACAGATTTTGAAATGTTTTGAGCATCCAGTAAAAAAACACATGGAAAGAATTAACACGCTTCATTTTCACAAAATAAAATTGAAGAAAGTTGTTTGTTGGTTTTTTGTTTTTGTTTTGTTTTTTTTCAGGTGACCACCGGGATGCGAAGGGTTATTTCTATCTGAATCCCAGTTAAATTTGAGTTCCACTCATGAACACGGTTTGCCCACTACGCCAGTTACTTCATTAACTGGCTGTGAAGAAAACATTTGCAAAGGGCTCCTGTTCCTACTGCAGAAAATTGCAAAACTGCCGGCTGCACATCATTGCTAGGACACAAACCAGCCTGATTTCCTGAGAGCCTAGGGGAGACCATTGCCTTTATGAAAAAAATCAGGAAGTATTTCCTAATTTCCACACATGTGCAATGCACCATGGGGCAGACAAGAAGGCAGAGAAGGTATTTCACAGTGGCAGAGTATATGGCTGCTCTGTTGGGAAAAGAGATGGCAGAGGCTGCTATATCAGTAGTGCTTCATCTTTTCTGTCTGAGCCTTGCTTTAGAAAGCTGGCCATGCTCCTTACCTCACCAGTCTAGTTCCACTCCTCCCACCACCACCCTTGCCCCAGGGCAGCTGCTGCCTCCTTACCTCCATGTCTCCTGCCCCAGAACCTCTACCACTTCCTCCTCGCACATCCCACACCATAAACTATTGTCACTGCCTCCCTCAGCCCACCGAGAGTGAATTAATAAATCTGACCGAATCCAGCTGACTCTGTTCAGAGCCTCCCGGGTGTGTCTTCACAGGCTCCTAGTGCTTGGCAGAGTTTATTTGCTCAGGTCTGCTGCTGCGCCTCACCTGCAATGGGTTCATGCCTCACACGTTGGAAACCACAGGGCCAAGGCAACATAAGTAGTCTTTTCAGGTCATTACTTCTACAGTTTTATGAGTTGCCAATCACAGTAACTAGGATAGCTAGGTTAACTAGGGTAAGTCTAAAGTACAACTTAAACCTCTGCCCGCTTCTGGATCAAAGTTAAGAAGAAAGAGTCAGTAACATTATTCTTCATCAGGAAAAAAATAGAGAAGAGTTTTAAGCAGTTAACTGTCTTACCATAATTCTGTCACTGTCAATAATGGTGTTCAAGCGGTGTGCAATGGTCAGCACCGTGCAGTGAGCAAACTTTTCACGGATCGTCTTTTGAATGAACTCATCTGTTCTGAAACACAGCAAGAGCAATGCAGACAAAAATAAGATGTTTGCATGGATAACCGAATGGCAGGCAAGTTTTAGGACTTCATCAAACATGACTGTACAGTATATGCTTATAAAGTCATTACAGTGCTTCTTCCTCTCATTATATTAGATGACTTGGAGGCGTATCATGAAACATACTCCAAAATCTATCCTCTAATACTTGAGGTCGAAAGAGCTCTTCTTGCAAGTAGAGCAAGAAGTTTCATTTCAGGAGACTAATTTCCCAGGCTTTGATTACATAAAGAGGAATATTCTGTAGAATCAGATATTCCCAGGTATTTCTACACCAAAAAAAGTCTATTCCTACAGATTTCTACACCAAAAAAGTCACTGTTATCTTAAGCTTCAGTTCGTGTGAGCAGTGAAGTTGGTGAAAGTAAATATCCTTCACTGTAAATCAACGGAAGAATGAACGCAAGACAGCCTGTAACTAAGGTTCTTGATTTCAGCTGCAAAAGGGGATTTAATAAAGGAGGTGGTTGGTAAACTCAACTAGGACTGGATTAGCTCAAGAACTTGAAAACAGAAAAAAAGAAAACTTGGCATATTCCGTAAATCAAAGGCATTAACTGGAACACACAACCCAAGGAAAGGGATAAAAGCTTTGAAGTTAAGATCCTCAATCAACGACATGAATTAACCCCCTAAGAAAAGGTATCGGGAGGAAACAAAAGACTTGTAAAGACTGACAACTAAGCTAGAGCACACACATTGAAGTACAAGGTTAAAGTGATAACTGTCACAAATAAAGCTGAGAACCCTGAAAAGGACATAAAATTATACCAAAAGAGACATAAGACACTAAAATGTTCTTCAATTGTACCAACAAGCATTACAGCAAAAGAGGTGCAATACTCATAAAACTGGAGATTATTCAAGGAACTAACTGTGCAAGAGAAGCATTGACACCACCTAGCTTAAAGCATACCAGTCAGGCTTAAATGTGGAAATCTATATAGTCCCCTCTCTGGTCACTGAAAGGGGAAAGGCGTGGCTGGAAGGTGCATGGGAGCACCTGAATTAGGCAGCCACCAGGTGATGAACGCCCTCTAGAGGCACCCGACAGCCCACATTGCTCTGGGAGCCTCGGCTCCCAACCCCGGCGCAAAGCCACGCCACGTGAATACTCCCACACCACACATCAGCCTTCAAAAAAAATGATGAGTGGCAACAACGGAGAAAGAGGCAGTGTGGGAATGCAGGTACAGAAACGAAAATTCTCATCCAAGATAAAAGGAAGACACAAAGAACTCAAAATATACTGTGGTTAGTTAGACCAAGGAAGCTCCAGCCTAGAAGTCAGGCACTTGAAGGCATGGGTCTCATTTCCAGGATTTCTATTAAAAAAGGAAATTGTACTTTTATATAATGACTGGAGAATAATATATGCTGTACATACGGTTAAACCAAGACAAAGGAGATACCTGCATAAAATGTTATATTCAGGCAGCCATGCTACCTTCAACCAGTTTCTTGCAAAGACTTAATTCTTCAAATTGATATAAGTAACTAGAAAATCAAATAAACCACAATGAAGATTCATGCAACACATGTCTTCCTCTGACAAATTATTATTTTTTAGACAGAAGTAGTACTCTACATTGAATCTGTCTGCACATGATAAATATTTGGTATCATTTCATAAATTAAGCAAGAAGATTTGTTCTAATGACACCATATCAGGAGGCACTAACAATAAAAAGTGAACAAAGACAACTTCGGAAGAACAGGATGGCTTAGAGGAATGGAGTAACCATTAAGTTTTCACAGTAGAAAGCACCAGCTCGTGCTCTGAAGGACTGAGCAGTAACTTCTGTTACAAACTAAGTTTAAGCAATCTGCATGACAAAGGAATAGACAGATCCCTGCCGATGACAGGACTAATCACCAGAGAGAAGGAAGACATGAACAGTTAAGTAAGAGTTCCCACACATGCTGACTGTCATCTACACCTGGGGACAGAAACATTTAGGCTCTGTCACAAGCTTAAGAGAACCGGGTTCTGGGTCTCAGTCTGAGAAGGCTTGGTCCTTCTGCTCCTGCTTCCTAAAAGAAGCTCAAGAACATGGTGGGGAGCAGGTGTCCCTCAACTCCTCTTTCTGAGAAAAAAAAACGAAAGGAGAGAAAGAGAGGGAAAAAGCCACGACAGGCTCTTTAGCCCTGTGTGTTCAGAGTCTCCTTAAGAAAAGGAAGTTGTTCATTCTCAGCGCCCCACTAGCATGTGCACGTCTCACATTGCAGCCATACCGGTGCTCTTACCCCAATATTGATGCACATATCTCTTTTGCAACCATCTCAGCAATGCCTCCATGACCTGATTACTCTTACTTTCAAAATTAAAAAACAGGGCCATACTTTAAAGCACTCCATAGGGAAGAGGCTTATATAGACAGTGGGATGTGTCCTCTGCAACCGTTAGAGATAGCCTACACTGAACAATGAAACAAAAGGCTCCATACTCCCTAGAAGAATGCAAAGAAAGTGCTTTTCTTTCCTTATAGTCAAGCTCAAGGCGAGGTTTCCTGCAGAGCTACTAAGGAGCACAGAGAACTGCAGCTTGCTCAGGAGTTTTGAAAACAACTTTTTGAAAGGCTCAAAA